CACTGTCGATAGCACGCTCATGGCATGCAGTGTGGAAGACGTGCGTACGCGTGCTTTTCCATAAGACTGAGTCATTGTCGAGGTGGGGGCATTCCCAACGCTTTCCAAAAAGTACCCAACGACAGATAGAATGCTAGTTACGCCGAATTTAGCCGTTTTTAGGGGCCGATAAATGGTTTATCCCGCTGAAACAATTAAAGGTACCCTCGATGCTGTCGCTAACTGTTGGGCCACGTGTAACTTTACACTCGGTGTCTAAGTGATTGGTCCGCTTTACTCCAGAAAGAACAAAGATGGTTAGCTTACTTGAAGCCTGGTGGAAATCCTGTTGTATAGGCTGGTGAATTTTGCAGCAGGGCAAGCAACGCGCGGATCTGAAGTTGAACACCGATTATTTCCATTAATTTGGCAAAGTAAGGCGGATTCCCTGCCGCGAGTGCTAAGGCGAGGCCGACTCGCCGGAAACCCTCCCCTGGCCAAAGTTCTCTATTGTTGGCAAGCTCCTGCGCCTGTTCGAGGGTAACATCAAGGCCTGGACTGCTCTGCGTAAACTCCGTTCTAGCCTAAATGGGAGGGTGAGCTAAAAGCGTTGCATGGGGGTTCAAACCAGTTCAGCAAATTGCGCATAAACCTGCAGTTGCCGTTCAGTCAGGGTTTCTTCTGACTGAAAGACTTTCAGTGGTGAGAGATGATTTGTGCAAACTGAACCTACTTATGCATTCGAAGTCCATGAAAGATATGAGAGGGACAACAAAATTGGCGTTTCCCAGGACGTCCATAATCTTAGATGACATACGCAGAAGTCCATCTAAAAGCGGAATAACTTAAATGCATTCAGCAGAGCGAAATGTTTAGGAAAGGAATTAGACTCCAAATACGGATATGCTATACAGTCATATTAAAAATTTCTCTTAGATAACAACGTAGAAATGATGAATTGTGCACATGCACAGGCTTCATTAGACAAACTGCCACCCAAAAGCGTGGCCTGGTGGTCTAGGGGTATGATTCTCGCTTCGGGTGCGAGAGGTCCCGGGTTCAAATCCCGGCCAGGCCCCAGGGTTTTGTCAAATTTATTGTATTCTCGAATCCAATCTACTCCTAGGTTGTTTGTACGCAGGATCTGAATTAACTTGGGATAAAACTGCGCATGGCGTTGTTAAGCTGACTGTGTGCTTATTTGGCAAATAATAGTGGTTTCAGAAGGACTCGCATATTCAACTACAAACTGGTAATACTGGCTTTATTAAATGGCGATGTCACCTTCGTTAACACAATTGAGATAATCAAGCATAAACCGGTGCTGAGGTAGCGTTTTGTGACTTTTACCCAAAAGAGTAGTGCTTAAGGGTTCCCTCAAAAATTCCCGTACGAAAATGGAAAATAACTGAAGTGAATGCGCTCAATTCGCTAGGCATGTACCCTACTAATTATCAGCACACATTAAGCATAGTCTATTGCAATGTTTAAGTTTATCGACTGGCTAATTCATACTTAGGGTATAAAGACTACCTCCAGTGCCGAGAGCGATATAATTGAGAAAAAGGTATTCTAAAATACGGTAAAATGTAAGCGAGGTCGGTATGAAGAAACATCAATAAAGACTATCTACCTATCACATATAAGTAGTATGTTAAAACTGGGTTGCACAGTTATGCCTTAAGGTAATGAGTGCATAATCTGACTGGAGTAATCATTACGGACCCACTATAAAGTTAACTGAAAAGCCGAAGAAGTTTCTGTTCTACTGTATTGGCCCAGAGGCTGTGTGCAAGCTAAATTATAAATGACAGCATAGACAACTCAAAGACTGACGGAAGCAAGCTGCCATTCATACTTAAGTGGTCGGACAGACAGTCGTGCATATTTATTTACCCATGTTTAATAAAGTCCTCTCACAATAAAAGGCATCACAGTAAAATTTAGTACAAGTCTATGGTGATAAAACGTAATAATTGGGCGTTAGTTAAGCAAAAAGAACCAGTGTTAAGCCTCAGCCGCCATTTTCACCGATTGTCCAGAATCTCGATTTGTCGAGATCTAATAGCTATCTATTTCGTATAAACTGAAAGGCAGGCATTCCAAGAAATGTAATTTCAAGGAACGGCGTCCTTTGGGAAAATGAGTAAGTTTACTCAGTAAATTTTTGACACTGGATCCCCAGGTCGTCGTCAGATTTGAAAGTAGTGTACAAA